GTACACCGCCTGTCCAGTCGCAGTCGCAGTTACAGCCAGCCTCTCCGCTGCCTAGTCCTTCTCCTTACTCTGGGCCGACTAGAGGTCTTACGGAGTGTCGTGAGCCTGAGTCTCGTCCTGCGTCGCCTGTTCGCACTGTTCGCACTGGTCTTGTTCCGCGTCCGCGTCCTCCTGCTGTCCCAGGCACGCACCAGATGGCACTCCGTCCTTCCACTGCTCCACAGCGTGTCCCTCTGCCGTCTCCTCCTGCGTCCTCTCCTCCTGACGTCCCTGACGCGCCGTCTGACCTTGCTCGTGCTGCCAGTCCTACTGTCACGCGTCTTCTAGCCACAGTTGTCACTGACCCTTCGTTTGATTCTACTGCTGCGTCTGCCCTAGTTGCTGAGCTTGTTGACTTTGCTGCCGCCTATCGTCTAGACTACGCCGCTAGTCTTGTTGCTGAGTCTGAGTCTGTCTGTCCTCCGTCCGTCGGGGGTGAGTGTGCTCTTGGCACGGACGTCCTTGAGGACAGGCAGGAGGACTTTGAGTGCTTTGCAGCTACTGTACCTCATCTCGTGTCCATGCTGATTGCACCTGAGGGAGACCTGGATGCACCAGACATCCCGACCCCGCGCTCTTACGCAGAGGCGATAGCGGGTCCCTACTCCTCTCAGTGGCATACAGCCATGGACGCAGAGATGGCATCCGTAAAGTCCACAGGCACTTACGTTGACGAGGTTCCCCCACCTGGGGCGAACATCGTCAGTGGCATGTGGATTTTCAGGATGAAGCGGCCGCCGGGTTCTCCGCCTGTCTTCAAGGCGCGTTACGTTGCATGAGGCTTCAGTCAGCTATAGGGAGTTGACTTCTTCCAGACCTTCTCCCCTACCCCGAAGATGGCCACTCTTCGGATGCTGCTGCACGTTGCTGCGCAGCGTGACTACGAGCTTCACTCTCTTGACTTCAGCACAGCCTTCCTACAGGGCAGCCTACACGAGGAGATCTGGCTGTGCCGCCCACCTGGCTTCACTGGGTCGTTTCCTGCAGGTACCCAGTGGAGCCTCCGGCGGCCAGTCTACGATCTCTGCCAGGCGCCTCACGAGTGGCATGACACACTGAGGACTACTCTTGCGGCTCTTGGGTTTGCTCCTTCCACTGCTGACCCGTCGTTGTTTCTACGCACCGACACTTCTCTGCCGCCGTTCTACATCCTCGTGTACGTCGACGACTTGGTCTTTGCCACTGCTGACACTGAGGGACTCGCCCACGTGAAGTCGGAGCTGCAGAAGAGACACACGTGCACAGACCTGGGTGAGCTGCGCAGCTATCTTGGCTTGCAGCTCACCCGGGACAGAGCACAGCGCACAATTACCTTGACTCAGTCACACATGGTGCAGCAGGTCCTTCAGCGCTTCGGCTTCGAGTACTCCTCGCCACATGCCACTCCTCTGCCTACCGGTCACTCGCTCTCAGCTCTGCCTTCGGATGAGTCCGTAGAGCTGAGTGGCCTGTATCCAGAGCTTGTGGGCTGCCTCATGTACATGATGACCTGCACTCGACCTGACCTTGCTTACCCTCTTAGCATCCTGGCTCGCTACGTTGCGCCCGGGAGACACCGACCAGAGCACTGGAAGGCCGCTAAGAGGGTGATGCGCTACTTGTGTAGTACGTCAGGCATGGGGCGCGTGCTTGGAGGACGGGCTCGAGTTGTCCTCACTGGTCACGCAGACGCTTCTTGGGTTGACGACTTGGCTACGCAGCGGTCGTCACAGGGTTACACTTTCAGCCTTGGCTCTGTCTCTGTTTCTTGGCGGTCTACCCGCTCGTCTTCCGTTCTTAGCTCCAGTTGTGAGGCTGAGATCTACGCAGGGGCCATGGCTGCACAGGAGTTATGCTGGCTCACCTACCTGCTGACCGACTTGGGCGAGCCGCCTCGTTCTCCTCCAGTTCTGTACGTCGACAACAAGGCCATGATTGCTTTGTGTCAGGAGCACAGACTGGAGCACAGAACGAAGCACATCGCTCTGCGCTACTTCCTTGCTCGAGAGTTGCAGCAGCGTGGTCAGCTTTGTCTTGCTTACGTGGCCTCTCGGGTCAACACTGCTGATATCTTCACCGAGGCACTTCAGCCTTGTGATCATCAGCGTTTCTGTACTGTTCTAGGCCTTGTGCCTACTTGGCCTCACTTGCTCACTTCTTGACTTTGCTTGTACTGTGATCTATATATATATACCTGCATGGTTACACTTGCTAGGTTGTGATCACTGTACTGCTTGTTCTCCTTTATATATAACTCTGCATGTGAACTGGCCTTGTGGCCATTTGCTTGTGCTCAGAATGCGTGGTGACGTTGTGATCCACCCTGAGCTTGACCTTGCTTCGTTCTCTTGCTTGTCCCCCACTTTGCCTATGGGGGTGTGTCAGAACTATGCTCTAGGCTGTAGTGGGGCACTCCTTATGGGGTACAACCCAATTTATGTTTTTGCTATACAAACCTTGTACTGCTCTCATTCTAGTCATTCTTTCCTTCCCAATTCTGACACGTTGGCATGGAAAATTCCACCACCTTCTAGTGGCTTCGGGTGGAATTTGCCTGCATGGCAACGTATCCTACTGTGATTGGACCGCACGGCAGGATTTGCGTCAACGCGGGCAGGAAAGATTCCCCCCCCTTCTAGAGGGTTCGGGTGGAATCGGCAGCCCTGAGGCGCATGACAATGCGATTGGGCCGTACGGCAGGATTCGAGTCAGCAACGCCAGGTGCGTTGCTTCTGGACGTGAATTTGTGGTGGGAAACTGAATCGCGGTTGATTTCCCCTGAAACCCATGCACGAAACCACGTGAACGATTGTTTTGTTGTGTTCGCCGAAAAGCGGAAGCCGAAGCGCATCTATTTCAGAGGCGGAGGCTGGAAGCGGACAGAGGAGGGGAACGGAAAAGCGGGGTGGCGGAAGCGTGAAGAGGCGGGTGGGGAACGAGAGATGGAGAGAGCGCGGGGGGCGGTCGCTGGAAGTTGGGACTGTGGCGCAAAGAGCCGGATGAGGGGTTCAGCGCAACGCGCTCTTTGCTACGCGTTCCGCGCAAACGGACGCGTAGTGGATAGGGTTAACGTGGCACGGCACCTACGTTTTGACGTTCTGTTGTTGTAAGCTACTGCGGCTATTTCACACGTGAAGTAGTTACGGTAGCTTGTTTGATCGTGGTGTTTTCTTCATTCTGAGGTTGTTGGTGCTTTCCGTTTTCGTTTTTGCTGGTAATTGCATTGTGCGAGGACATTCTCCCCTACTTGAACCTGATTGGCTGAAGAACAATCCTAGCGACACTCCTTCCAGTCGCAGTTCTTTGTTTTGCAAAGCTGCACAGTTTGGCGAGACCCCTTTCCCCCTCGTTAACGCATCTCTTTCTCGCTAGACTGACTTAACCGAAATTACTGTTTTCAAGGTTTCGCCAAGACTATTTCAAACTCACAGAACTTGAAAATTTACCATGCTGACCTCGGGCTTTAAAGAGAGCTTCAATTAGGTGCCCTTAAAAACAAAATTATTTTTTACTGTCTTATAGGCGCATGCACTTATACCCGTTACTCATTTACAAGCGCCCCCCCCTAAAAAAAAAACGATTTTATTATAAGCGCACATGCGCTACTATCCGGGGTAATACGGTATTATTAACAAGGTCACTTCAAGACTTCATTGTGTTCCTATAACTTAGCAGTCTTATCATATCCACTACGATTCCCGGATTATATCAACACGGAGTGGATGCGCTTATCCCCGAACCATGATAGATGATAACCCTAAACCCTGCGTTCGGAAGGCTCCTGGTCGCCCGTTTTTGGCAAATTAATGCAAACAGAATGCAGCCTTAGTCTTTCCATTTGAGTTTATTCAAAAGTCGAATATGCGAGGGAATTAGTACAGAATGTGTGAGGAATGCTAAAGGGGAATAGATGTGCGAATTGTGTGTCTCGTTGCTCTCCACGTGTCAAGGTTTGCCCTGAAGAATACGCATCCCGTCCAGTCTTGCTTGCTGCCACTCTGGCAAAAATGATTTTTGAACGACTAATCAGAATGCGCCATGTCGAGATTCCTTCTCTCATGTGCATGGTCCGCACGCGTTATGACGAGGAATGCACCTGACACCATTGCTAATGGTGTTGGGGTAAAGTGTGGTTGTGAATGGACTGCAAAGGTTTCAGTTTCTTCGTGACCCGGAAGATTGCGATTGGCTCAAGTGTACCCCGATCCTCAGAATTCCTGTCTCTCCGACAACAGCTTGTTCCAGACTTGCTTTTTATAAACAATGCTGGGAGGCAGGGCTAGTTCCGACTAAGCGCGAGCACATGCTTCCGAATCAATGCACATAATGTATTTTTGGATTTATTTGTGCTAAGGTGCAAAGAAATGCTGAATGCGGACCGAGATCCAGGGTCTGTGCTGGTCCAAGTTCCTGGGGAGCGGTTCGTGTCAGCGCCGCCTTCCCTTTCTACCCCAAGGGGGAATTCGAGGTGCAATGGGGCTGGGGCATGCAGTAGCCTCGCCGCGCGCACGAGCCCGTCAACTATCTTCCGCGACCACTCCGCAACAGCGCGTAGTTGCGCAAAACTCTCGGGAAAATTGGGTTGACGTGCTGTGCACCAGCCTGACTTTCGAGTGCATGGGGGTGAGCGCATGTGTGGTGCGGTTGGGGGGAGCGCGGGAGAGGGGGAACAGAGGATGCTGCGGTGGAAGATCTTCGACACGTAGGCGGAGGTTGGCAGTCGAAAAGGCAGCGAAACAGAAATCGAGCGCGTGGAAACGGAGTGCAAGGAAACAGCTGCCCCGTCCCACAGACACGTGCCCTGTGTTTGGCGAAATGACGCGCGTCGGCGGAAATCGCGTTTCTCTCAATTGCATCGACCTAAATTACTCCGACATCGCCACGTGGGCGTTTCCCTTAATTGGATGTACCGCGTTTGCGCCCGCCCCCCAACCCGATTTTCCCGTCCTTCCCATTCGAAATCCGGGCACCCGCTCGAATTCATGGCGGCGCGCAAGTTCGGATGGCGGCCTTCCAGGTATGTCGCGCACTCGGCGCGTGCCGTGGAAGCACGAGTGCTGCGAGCGCGTGTGATTGGAGCGCGCGTCACGGGAGCGCGCGTGTGACTGATGAATGATGCCTGCCTCGAATTTGTCTCGGCCGGCCCCCTGACTCCTCGCCTTCTCTGCCCCTCTGCTCCCCTCGGCTCCCATCTCCTCTGTCCCTCTGCTCCCCTCTCTCCCCTCTGCTCCCCTCTCTCCCCTCTGCTCCCCTCTCTCCCCTCTGCTCGCCTCTCTCCCCTTTGCTCCCCCCTCCCCGCAGCACGGAGTACGTCATCTCGCTCGACCCGCGCGACTTCTCTCGCCACGACCACCCCACCGCTGCTGACTCCTCCCACTCCCCCCACTCCGCTCGCACGTCAAGCGCCACACACGCCTCGCGAATATCCTGTCTCGGCAGCACCAGCAGCGCGGTAGCAAGCAGCAGCGTTACCGACGGCAGCAGCGGCGGCGCAGGCAGCGGAGCGGCAGCGGGCAGTGGGGGCGCAGCAACCAGCGGGGGCGCAGTGGGCAGCGGAGTGGCAGCGGGCAGCGCGTATCTGGGGCGGGTGCGCGCCAACTTCCTCGGCACGCGCTTCACCGTCTTCGACGCGCGCCAGCAGGGTCCTTCCCCCCCCGCGCGCGCCCCCGCAGGCGTCGCCGCGCCCAGCAGCAGCAGCAAGGTGCACCCCAGCATGGCCGCGCCTGCGCCCGCCCCTGCGCTTTCCAAGGGGAAGGGCGCCGGGGGGAGAGGCGCGCGGGGCGAGCGGGATGAGGGCGCAGGGAGCAGTGAGGCTGTAGGGCTGCTGGAAGGAGCTGGGAGTGGGAGAGGGTGCGGGAGGGGCAGTGGCAGCTGTGATTGCTGCTGCGCCTGCGCTCCCCATGGCTATGCCTCTTCCGCTCACCCTGCCTGCCCGTCCGCTGTGCCCCTTCCCTCGCCCTCCCCACACGCCACCCCCTGCGCCCGTGGCGACTGCGCGTGCAGCCCCACGTCCGTCCTCTCGCCCCCCTCCTCCGCCCAATCACTGCCCGCCACCACATCGGATAGTGCCGCGCCCCTTCCCCCCCTCAAACTTCCTCCTTCTGCGCTCGCTGTGCCCGCCCACACGCCACCACACTCTTGTCCCCTTGCGCCCTCTGCGCCCTCTGCGCCCGTTCCGCCCTCTGCGCCCCTGCCCGTGGCGACGGTGTCGTACGCGCTCAACGTGCTGGGCACTCGCGGTCCGCGCCGCATTCAGGCTGTGCTGCACTGCGCGCCAAGCAGTGGGGGAGGACACGTGGCAGGCAGTGGGGGGGCTGCGGAGCAACGCGGGAGAGAAGAAGGGGCGGGGGATAAGGGCATGAGATGTGGGCGTGAGGGGTGGGGCAGAAGGGACGAGTGTGCGTGTAATGAGGGGGTATGTGCATGCGGTGAAGGGGTATGTGTGTGTGATGGCTGCTCGAGGCATGATGGGGCAGGCGAGGTTGATGGGGATGGCAGGGAGCAGAGCCACATGCCATGCTGCCACGTGTCCCATCGTCATTCGTTCAGCCAGGAGAGGCATGAAGGCGAGGGATGCGGGGAGGCGGCATGGGAGCCGATGGTGCTGAAGAATAAGCCGCCCAGATGGCATGAGCAGCTGCAGGTGAGATGGTGCTCTGTGCATCAGTTGTGTGAGCAGCAGCGCTGCCAAGAGTGGCGCGATGAAAAGGGCATGGGAAGGGAGGCAAAGAGGAGGTGTGTTAGCCCCTCCAGGTGAGAGCAGCTGCACGGATCGCATTTCTCTCCCCTGCTCTCCTCTTTTCTCCCCGTTTTCATACAATTCCTCCATGTGTTCCTCCCCCTCCCCAACCATTTCCTCTCCTCGCCAACCATCTCCCTCCCTCCCTTGCAGTGCTGGTGCCTCAACTTCAGGGGGCGCGTGACAGTGGCGTCTGTCAAGAACTTCCAACTCATTCACGCCACGCCACTCGTGCACGCCACGCCGCACCAGTCCCACCCACCCTCACCGCTGCTCCCACCATTTGCTGCCCCCTGCTCCTCTCTGTCATCCTCATCGCCCCCCCTGACTGTGTCGGATCACCACAGTGAGTCATCAGGACCCATAGGTGCTGCCGCCACAGGTAGTGACAGTAGGAATGGCGGCAGGGGAAGCAGCAGCAGGGGCAGCAGTAGCAGTGGCAGCAGCAGCGGCATCGATGGCAGTAGTGGTGGCGACGGCAGCAGCAGCAACAGTCGCAGCAGCACGGGCAGCACTATCAGTATAAGCAGGAGTGCGGCGAGCAGCAGCAGTGGGGGAGGCAGAGCGCATGAGCGGGGGGCAGCAGGCACGTGTGGGGGGGTGAAGGGCGGGAGGGAGGTAGACCAGCCGGTGGTGCTGCAGTTTGGCAAGGTGGGCAGAGACGCCTTCACCATGGACTACCGCTACCCGCTCTCCACCTTCCAGGTGTGTAAGGGGAAGAGGAGTGATACTGGGTAGACTTGCAGGTGAGCGGTTTGGCAAGGTGGGGAGAGATGTGTTCACCATGGACTATCGCTACCCACTCTCCACCTTCCAGGTGAGCAAAACGTGGCTTCTCATGCTGGTGAGACAGGAGTGATGCTGGTGAGACAGGAGTGATGCTGGTGAGACAGGAGTGATGCTGGTGAGACAGGAGTGATGCTGGTGAGACAGGAGTGATGCTGGTGAGACAGGAGTGATGCTGGTGAGACAGGAGGGATGCTGGGTGGATTCAAGCAGTGGTTGCTTGCACCATGCCGCTTACCTCTTGTACTCATGCATGTGCATTCGTCTGTCGCCTTGCAGACCTTTGCTATCTGCCTCAGCAGCTTCGACACCAAGGTGGCGTGCGAGTGAACATGCCCTAGCCGCACACTTGGGAAGCACGTTGTTGGAGAGAACACCGTCAGTGCTCTGCAGATCAATGTGTGCTACGAGGTTCGGTGGTGTAGGAGCATGAAAGCTCTTCAGTGTTACAGGTAATATTCATCGGATGAACCCATTGCGATTACCCTTTACCTAGCCTAGGGGGTGTGTCAACCTAGACATACACTTTTGAATGTGTATATTATAGGCTAAGTTGGCTGTAGAGGGTACATGTGTCGTATATGCCTCATATGTATGCCCTCATTCTATTACCGTAGAATGCCGGCTCTAGGGTGAACATTAAGGTGGCAGTAAAATTTTTAGACCCGGGGTACACTTATTTATCAACTATCAATCTGTTCTTTAGGGTGTACGGCTCAATTTTGGGCGGGGGGGTCTTATATTCGTAACAAAAAACACCACTCGTGTGCAAATTCCGCGCGAGCGGCGCGTCAGATGATCTGACTCAGATCTGTCTCAAAATTCGAATCTGACACGAAAAGCGAGTCAGAATTCGAACTTACTGTATGCCATTACAAGCTGAAGCGCATAACAAAAACCAACTACTGGATACAGAAAAGGGGGACTGATGGCCCCATATTCAATTTTACAGACCCTGATCCATCAGAGTCCCCAGAAAAAAAAAGGCTGATTGACAGCCTTCGTAGTAAAAAAGGCCTGATTTTTCAGGATTCCTAAAAAAAAAGCCTGACAAGTTAGTCTCAGAAAGTGAATGCAACGGAATGATTGGAATTAGGGTTTGCAAGGGTACAAATAGGAATCCTACAAAAGCTATACTCTCTAGGGAGTACCTCACTGCAGCCTATCATAACATTAATATTTGACACACCCCCATAGGCTAAGTGAGGGACATCGCAAGCAAGGTGAAACAAAACGGTCACAAGACCAGTCAAGGCAAGAAGCAAGGCAAGCTCAGGGTGGATCTCAAGGACACCACACAAATTCCGAGCACAAGCAAGCGGCCACAAGGCCAGTTCAAGAGTTCACTAGGATATAAATAGGAGAACACAACAAGCAGAGCAAGCAACAAGACTACAGCAACCGAGGGCCTACCTCAACAAGCCCCAACTGCACACAGAACCTGTGGTGGTCACCAAGCGCCAAGGCCTTGGTGAAGACGTCTGCAGTGTTGGCCTCTGAGGCCACAAAGTCCAGGCGTGCCTGGCCGCGTCGCTGCAGCTCTCGCAGGAGGAAGTACCTCACGTCAATATGCTTCACTCTGCTCTCCAGTCGAGGCTCTCGACACAGGAGGATCATGGCCTTGTTGTCAGCGTACAAGGTCGGTGCAGAGCGAGGCCGCTCACCAAGGTCGGCGAGCAAGAAGGTCAACCAGCGAAGCTCCTGTGCCGCCATGGCACCTGCGTAGATCTCTGCCTCTGCACTGGAAGTAGCCACAGACGACGACCGTGTAGACCTCCACGACACAGCACCAGCTCCCAGACTGAAGCAGTAACCCTGAGTCGAGCGCTGAGTCTCCACGTCGTCAGCGTAGGAAGAGTCACAGTGACCAGTCAACGCCACTGGCTGAGTCCCTCCAAGCACAAGCCCCATGCCTGATGTAGTCGCCAGGTACTTCGCCACCCTCACAGCAGCTGTCCAGTCGACAGGACGGTGTCTCCCAGTCGCAACAAAGCGAGAAAGGATGCTGAGGGGAAAGGCGAGGTTCGGTCGAGTACAAGTCATAAGGTACATGAGGCAGCCCACCAGCTCTGCGTAGGGTCCACTGGACTCAAAGGGCTCGTCAGGAAAGGGGTCCATGAGTCTATGGACAACAGCAAGAGGAATGGGCTGTGTGGTGGAGAACTGGAAGTCGAACCGCCGAAGGACCTGCTGCACCATGTGTGACTGCGTCAGTGTGATGGTGCGAGCAGCTCTGTCCCGGGTGATCTGCAGGCCAAGGTAACGCTGCAGCTCACCCAGGTCAGTGCACTTGTGTCTCTTCTGCAGTTCGGACTTCACCTGAGCCAGGGCTGCCCTGACTGCTGTAGCAAACACCAAGTTGTCGACGTAGACAAGGATAAAGAAAGGAGTAGAACCCGCTCGAACAAACAGCGACGGGTCGGCGGAGGACGGGCTGAACCCAAGGTCACGAAGCGTGGAGCGAAGAGTGTCGTGCCACTCACCGGGCGACTGGCGGAGACCGTAGACTGGTCGCCTCAGGCTCCACTGGGTCCCAGGTGGGAAGGTGTCAGTGAAGCCAGCAGGACGGCGCAGCCAGATCTCCTCGTGCAGTCGGCCCTGGAGGAACGCAGTGGAGAAGTCGAGGGAGTGCAGCTCGTAGTCTCGCTGCGCTGCTATGTGGAGTAACACCCGAAGAGTAGTCATCTTCGGGGTCGGGGCGAAGGTCTAGAAGAAGTCAACTCCCTCACGCTGACTGAAGCCCCTAGCCACGTAGCACGCCTTGAACACCGGCGGTGCTCCAGGCGGCCGCTTCACCTTGAAGAGCCACATGCTATCGACTACGTTCGCTCTGGGAGGGGGAACTGCGTCGACGTAGGTGCCTGTGGATCTACAAGACGCCAACTCTGAGTCCATAGCCGCTTTCCACTGAGAGGCCCACGCCCCTGACACTGCCTCGCGGTAAGTGCGAGGAGTCGGTATGTCAAGGGCGTCGGGGTCTCCCTCAGGGGAGAGCAGCATGGCACACAGAGAGGGAGAAGCGGGTGCCCAGTACTCCAGCTCAGACTCTCTGTCCTCTAGGACGTCACAGCCAAGGGCAAACCCACCCCCGACGGACAGAGGACGGTAGGGAGGAGCTGGCACCACACGGGTGGCGTAGTCAAGGCGGCTGGCGGCAGCAAACTCAGCGACAGCGGCAGTAAGAGCCGGGGCAGACAACGGAGGGAAAACGAGAGTCGGTGACAAGAGTGCCGAGGACACGTGCGGCAACAGGACGAACAGCGCGGTAGTAGTCAGAGATACGAGTGGGTAGAGAGGACGGAGGAGGAGACAAGAGAACGGACACAGGAGAAGGAGAACGACGACGAGACTAACAAAGGAGGGCAGTGTGGAGGTCAGTAACAGGGGACGAGTGACGAGCACGCGGAGGACAACGAGTGATCAAGTCGCGACGGACAGAGGGAGGAGGAGACTGAGGAGGAGGAGAAGACCAGACCGCCGGACGGTCGTCAGGAGGAGGCAACGGAGGAACAAACACAGGAGGAGACTGGGAGCGGACAGGAGGAGAGGAGGAAAGGCCAAGGGCCCGCAGGCCACTCACAGGTGAGAACAACTGCCGCTCCAGAGGAAGCTGCGGTGGCGGCTGCGGCTGCTGCTGCTGCTACTGCGGCGGCGGCTGCGGCTGCTACTGCTGCGGCTGCTGCTGCTGCTGCTGCTGCTGCTGCTGCTGCCGCTGCTGCTCCAGAAGGTCCAGCACCCGCAGCTCCTGTCGCTCCCTCTCCAACCGCTCCTGCTCCTCACGCTCACGCCGACGGGCAGCCTGGAGACGCGTGTCGTGGCGGTGGGGAGGCGGAGTGGACTCCGCAGAACCAGGGTCTCCAGCTCCAGTCTCCTCAGACTCAGCACCCCCAGAACCACCACCTCCAGTGTCAAGACCTCCAACTCTAGCACCCCCAGAGCGAGCGCCACATGCGCCAGCCCCTCCAGCTTCAGCACCCCGCGAACGAGCACCCCCAGACCGCGCACCACCAGCGGCTGCACCTCCAGCTCCAACACCAACCAAGTCCACAGGAACCTGTCGCGGAAGTGCCGAAGGCTGCTGAGGGGACTGTGAGGAGGACTGCGGGGAGGGAGACGCTACCTGACGCGCGACCGAGGGTAGAGGGGTAGCGTGGGACACACCAGACGGGGCAGGACCAGGGGGGGGAGGGGGTACCGGAGGAGCAGGAGCAGGAGGAGGAGAGGGTGCTAGGAAAAAGGGGGGAGGGGGTACCGGGAGACCTCGACAGGGGTACCGGGTGTAGTAGGACACAGACTCGTCAAATCGGACGTCACGGGAGTCTAGGAACTGGTGGAGGGGCGGGTGGTAAAAGGACCAGTCGACAGAGTCCACTGGGAAACCAAGGAAGACACAGGGGACGGCGCGTGCCGAACAAGCGCAAGGCAGCCCCAGACTCGAAAGGCCGACCCAACACCAGGGGAACCAGTCCAAAGACTGGTCGGTTAAGCCTCGGGCCGCGAGACACACGGCTGGAGGTTCAGCTGGTGTGCGGCGTAGCGAACAGCGTGGGGCCACAGAAAATGGGGCGCACGGGCATGTATCATGGACGTGTGGGCGATGTCCATGACCAAGCCTATGCGGCGCTCAGCAACCCCATTCTGTTGTGGGGACTCTGGCAGCGTCCAGGACTGTGTGATGCCCTGTTCGCCGCAGAATCCGCCGAGAATGCCGGAGCGAAACTCGCCCCACGGTCGGAGTGGAGACAACTGACTCGACGACCACGAGTGCCCTCAGTAGCTAGGAGCCACCTGATCACCGTAGTAGTCACCTCGGACTTCTTCGCAAGAGGGAACACTGTGGTGTACCTGGAGTAGTCGTCGACGACCACCATAAAGTAACGCTCCCTCCCAGAACCCTGCGTCGGGGCAGGGCCCCAGACGTCCAAGTGGAGGGTCTCAAAGGGAGCGGTGGC